TTTTTTTTTTAGTATCTGGGGCACCAAGTTTGAAAAATTGTTTTGTTTTATCACATTACCTTTGTTATACTGTTAACTAAATGGGGGTGGGGGAGGGGGTTTGTGGTTCACTTGGCTCTCCCACTTTAATCTGTCATTGAGTGGGACTATGTAATATTGATATGGTATTGCTTCAGGCCATCTGGTATACCACACAACAAGGAATGGATGGACCAGTGTTTGGTGGAAAAGACCAGTGGAATGGTCTCGGAGTATTCTTTGACTCATTTGATAATGATGGCCAAGTAAGTAGGAAACTTCTTAACATGTGATTAATGGCAAACTAGAAGTGAATTGTTTGTTTGGTGAAATATGTATATTGGTTTTTTCTTTTTTAATGATAGTAAAAGAGTAATTTCAAATTGTTTCTAGAGGTTTATTGAATGGTGAAATGGCATGTCTCATAATAAAAAGTAAAGTCTCTTTAAATACAGCTGACTCTTTTAACTGTTGTTGTTTGTTAATTTATCCGGTGAATATCATTATATTTCCAGCTTCTGTAGAATAGACAGTCTTAGATGTCAGTTGGTAATTAATTATGCATTTTTCAAGGGATATATTCCAATGATCTTTAAGAAAAATGTTGCTATACAGACTAAATTCATGATGTTCAAATGCTTTTTTTCCAATTTGCAGCACAACAACCCCTATGTTATGGTGATGCTGAATGATGGCACTAAACAATATGATCATAATAGGTAACTTTTTATTGACTGTTAAATCCTCAGATCAGGGGATCAAAGGTGTTACAATCACTTTTATCTCGGTTGCCTTACCTTGATTCACAATACCACGTACTATTTTTTTTATTCATTGTAATGACACATATACAGGAAATGGTTTTTATAGTTAAATTAATGCTGGCTGACTTTGCTGATCTCACTCAGAAGGGAAAAAAAGAGATACAAATGAAACTATTTAAAAGAAATATGCGAAGCGCACATAGTTGCAAGTTTTGGTTAAACTAAAGATTTGTTCAGCAACTCTTGTGTGCAGTTACAGTTCTTGCCATACTGCAATAAATATATATTTTTTTAATCCTTATTTTTAAATTCTTTTCTTATTTTTTGACAGTCTATGTCAAGTTGACACCCTGACTGGAATGACACATGCACAAAGTGACTGAATTATTGTGATAAATTCATTACTCTAAAATAAGTTTGTGGTTGTGACATTTACAGGGTCGTGCATCTTTTTCTATGATTTGGTACAAATTGTATGATTCAAGGGTCACCATTATGCAAAATATTGAATTTAGATGCATTTTAGTATTTTCTTTTATAATTAACTGGTTATGATGTAATTTCCTTCACTGATACATTTTCTACAACTGTTCCTGTCAAAATAACAATATATATGGCTTCTTTTATTTTGTATTTTATGCTTTATACCATGTAAGACATTATTGACTCACAAATTGTCTTTTTTGTTTAAAGTTCTGAATAATTACACCTTTTCTTATTATCATTTGTTTTCCCTTTTTCAGTGATGGTCAGCACCAGCAACTAGGAGGCTGCCTCAGGGATTTTAGAAACAAACCTTTCCCTGTAAAAGCTAAAATTGAATACTACAAGAATGCCCTTACAGTAAGTTATCTTCTTTAGGTACTTACATAAAATTTTCAAGCACAACTCCTTTTACTTTTGCACTTTTTGAAGTTAATCATATCTGTTTGCTTTATTTCTAAAATGAATCAAACTTTTAAAAACTTTTAAATCGATATTAGTATAACTTGCAATATTTATTTTTTATTTTTTAATTATTTTGTTAGAATATATTAAGTTTTTTTATTGTGTTTGGCGTGTACTCTCAAATCATCAGCCCTTGTTTCATTTGTTCTTAGTTATCATTATTTTAGTTTAGCATTTACATGTTTTAGCAAAAATCATTATGTATATGTATATTTATCAGTATTATTGTGTAAAGTGTCTTGAAAATAAAAGCTACAGTGGATTATGATTAAAACAATGATTGATTCTCAACATTCATATGTATATAGATATATAGTTGAACATTATGTTCATGTTAAAATGAAAATTGAAAAGGGAACTTGTGGTGTCAAGATTTTCAAATTTGCTTACTAGTAATACTAGTATTTCACAATAGAAGAGAGAAATTGTTTAATGTCCATAGGTTGATTCTGTTATGAACTGTTTTCAACAGTCTTTATGGGACAGTAGATTGCCTATTTCTCAGAGTAACTTGAATATAACTTGGATGATTATTGCCCCTCGCAGTGGCCCACAGTATGTCAATTCTTAAAAGGTTAAAGAATGTATGGCTTTTTTTTTTTTTCAAAGAAAAATATTAATTTGGTTAAGAGAATTTTACAGCTGATCAATTTCTTAAATGACATCTTTTGTCAATTTTTTTTCTCTTTTTTAGCTTTCCATCCATAATGGTATGACCAACAATAAGGATGATTATGAAATCTGTGTCAGGGCAGAGAATGTAAATCTTCCAAGGAATGGGTACTTTGGTGTCTCAGCAGCCACAGGTGGACTAGCAGGTACTGTAGAACAAGTAAATTATATACAGACATTAGAGTAATTTAGTTCTGATTTGAGTTGCATTTAGAATGATAAGAAATATGGATAGATTTTTTTCCAAAATAGTCATCACTGTTGGAAGCTTCTGGAAAGCAAGAACATTGTGCTCTAGCTGAAATGAGCGCTTCTTTCAGTTGCAGAATTTTGCTGTTGTCATAGCTTTGCAAATTATAGATTAGTGGACATTGTGATGTTTTGTTAAATTGGTTTGGACTTTGGAAACAAATTTTGTTGAAATAATTGTTTCATGCCTCTAGATAAATCTGAGAATTGTTAAGTTATTAATAAGGGGTTAAGGAAAAAATCTTGTTTTGAAAGACAAAATTTCAGAAAGTAATCAGTACAAAAATATAGTTTTAATGAAGTAAGCCTATCATGTAGATTTCCATTTATCACAAAAGCTAGACAATCACATAAAAGAAACCGTCACCTATTGTGCATTATCTTTATCAGAAAAATGGGATATTGATGTTCTGCGCTGATAAAAGAGTAAATTATGCAGTGACAGGAATTAGAGAAATAATGTCTGTTGAAATGGTAATGTTACTTGCCGTTATGAAAGGGTAATTATATGGTTAGGCCTTTTATCATGTTTTAACACATTTAAGTAATTAACTTGCTTCATATGTGTGGAAAATGATATGTGAAGAAAACATTCGTGTAGTAAAAAATGTCAGTAAATTCTCAAGGGACTTTCTTACCAGCTTTACACAAGAGGACTCCTCTATCAGTCTTCCCTTTAGTTAGGACACCATATGGTCATATTGGGCGCATTGAATCACTTGAAGGGTATTTAAGACCAGTGGACCTTCTATTCATATGACCAATAATGGCTGCTTTTCTTAACCTAGCCATATACATAAAAATCTGACATAAGTAATAAATGGGCTGGTTTGATGGAATAATAGACCAAGATTATTTCTAATTGATTGAAGAAGTGGGTGTTATGAGTGCAGTAGGTATTTTTATCATATCTTTTGGACAATACTTATCATGTGCGACTGAATATTAGATATTGTATAAAAGGGGAGTTTCAGTACAGATTGATAGAAAAGTGAATTGTCCAGAATTGAGTTGCATATAGTTTCACTGTATTTCTGATGTAATAATACATTATTTAAAGACAATTGTGTTTTCATCATTGATCTTAGCCTTTGAGAGGGTAATGTAAGGTAACTAAATAACCATTATTCAAATGTGGATCATGATGTGAATTATTATTCCAAAGCTTCCAATTTCTAAAGTTTAACCTGTTCAATTTCTTTTAGGAGCTGTTGGTTTGTAGCATTTTTGTCAGTAGAGAGTTTCTAATCAAAGTTTTTTTTTCATTTGCATATCTCACACATTGCTTGAAGTGTTATATAATTCTTCATCACCATGTTTGCTAATTCAGTAGAACCATGCTGTGATATTCAGAGTTTATTCTTTTCTGTATACTGAGTGCTGTTGTGTGTTCTGTCTTGCAGAAGCTTCTAAGGGTGGTTTAGTGAACACTGTTGTTGTTGATGTTGTTGTTAACCTTAATTATCAAATTTCATTATAAACCTTACTAGTCATAATGGTTTTTCAATTTTTGTTGGTAACAAAATTTTTTTAGTATGATAATTATCTTTGGTTTTCAAAATAATATCGATTTAAACACTGTTGCTGTGTTTCCATAGAGATAATGATGTTATTCTCACATAATTTCCTTTGTGTCTCAAATGGTAGTCAGCATTTAATTTTGCAGTTCACTCATAGATCTGGTGTGATACAGTTTATTCAACAACAGCCACGTTTTATTAATTTTTTTGTCAATTACTTGAGTAAAATAAATGTTAACATTTTTAAAACTTCAGATATCTGATGTGGTAGAGCAGCAGTAGAATTTCTTTTCAACACAAATCAATTGGAAAAGCATATTATCACAATTAACAATGAAATCAGACCTTTGTGGTAGATATTTCTTCACTTTCAACTCTGTAAGGTGAAAAAACTCTTAGCGTGGTAAATTTTACAGAATCCTTAGAATTAGATGACACCTTTTGTATGATTTCATTGTTAAGAGCAGGTTTGTTCTTGTACTCGCACATTGTTTTAATATGCTGCAATCTAATTGGCAATATAGGACCACTGGTTCACAAAAATATAGACTGAGATGCTGCCAAACTTATGATTATCTTATTTATCATGTCAGATATCTTGTGTTTTGATTTCATGGTTTCCAGTTTAGATTTTTTTGTCTAGAAGGAAATTTTTGCATAATAGCCTTCAGCAAGAGAAAAAATGGAAAGCATCTTTGAGGGGAAAGACATTTTTTTATAAAACATAACATTCTTTTTTAACTTAAAGAAATCATGAAATTAAAACCAAAGGACTTATATATATAGATGGCAGCATACCTATATGTATGATGATATACTGCTAGCACTGCATGCTGCTGCTGATAGTAAAAGGATAGTTTTCGTTATGTTATGTACTTGTACTGCATGAAGTGGTTAAAGAATGGGAAAGCTTGCCTATTAGATTATATTATTAAAATGCAGTTTTCTGTCCTTGATTCACGTCAGCAAAAATAATAAACGTATTTTGTAGTTTGATTTCATTTTTGTAATATAGTTGCTATTAGCAACACTCGGTCACATACAGACAATATATTCACGCAATCATTTCCGTTGGCAGGTTTTACTCACTTTTTTCTATCATTGCCTTTCAGATGATCATGACTTGGTGTCATTTATCACCCACTCCTTGACAGTGCCAGTGACAGGGGTATGCATAATCTATACAACTTTTTTTGGCATGGTTCACCTTTTTCTGTATAAAATCCTAGATTTATTGTGAAGCTCATTTATTAGTAGAGAGGATATTATTAATTATCAAGTAAGAGTATTGGTACTTTCTCTTCAGCTGCATTGTATCACAGAGACTGTGCTGTACTTCAGACCTATCTGCTTTCTCCTATGATTTAAAATATGAGAAGAGGAATATACTTTCTCTTGGGGGGGGGGGGGGGGTG